TGACTTCTAAGTCAGTTCTTTCAAGAGAGTATCTCATCTCTGGATAATTTTGCTTCATAGCCACTCAACTTTGATGCTTTATAGCCTAAACGTTCACTAACCCTCCTCCTCTGTGAATTGTTCCAACAGTTCAAGTATGAGGGCGGGCTCTTTGAAAAAAGGAAATATTAAGACGATGATTAGATAGATTGGTGACTCCAAAATTAAAAAGAACCAAAAACATCACAAATATCAAGTTTTACACTCTCAATCCTCATAAACAGTCTCTTTTTCTTCTCTCCAAGACTCCTTACAAGTTTATTTAGCCTTCTGCTTCAATGCTCCACGCTCTAAGATGCAAAAGAAATGAGGAAAAAGCCCCTCAAACTTTGTTTTCATCATTCTTACAACTTCTCTTGGCAAAAAAGATGCATCTAACTGCTGGCACCACCAATTTGCACACTTGGCGCATATGATCCCATGGTTTCTGCCTAGGCATTGCATATATTAAACTCATCACAACACCTAGGCATTGCATTATAGCGCCTAAGCACTACATTTGTAACACTAAATTTCTAAGCTCTTTGAAATATGAGAAAATTTGTACTCCTGGAGCTCAGGAGCCCATTGCCAATGCCTAGGCGCCTAATCTCTGGTGCCTAGGTGCCACTTTTATGGTGCCTACTTTCCAAACCTCAATTTTGTGCACAATTCTGGGCTGGTTCTAGAGTATTGGCGCTCAGTCCCAGCGTCTTGGCACGAGAACACCATGTTGCTCAAATTAACAATGTTTCAAACTCTATTTGCTCCTCTTACTTGAATCGTGCAATACAACACCAAAACCTTCCTCAAAGTACAATATAAACATACAAAAAGGAAGAATTAAGGCATGCATCATGCACAATTTATAAACATGTCACCTACGCAGAGTGAAGCGAATTCTAGCATATAAATCACCATTTATTAACATCATGAGAATCCATACCAATGGTCTTGTCAAAAACAAATATGCTCAACATCCATACTACATAACGTATAGCCTAGCATTTTTTTTCCTTTAGACCCCTACTCGTGCCTAACCTCCTTAGTATATAAATAAGAAGAAAAGAGGGAAGAGTAGATATTTCTCTCTTTCTCTCTCTCTTTCTCTCTCTCTCACACACACATAATCCTATACCCTTAAAAAAAATTCTCTAAAAATCCATAGCTTCTTCTCACTCCTATTTTAAGATCTCTCCCAAATTGCATTAGTTCATGAATTATATGGGATCTCATGTCTCAAAAGGATTCAATTTTTGCAATTTTTACAATTACACACTTAATAGTGGAATACATTCATTGGGCTAGGCTCCACAATTTTTTTCATTTCTGAGTTTTTTCATGTAAAAAAACCTTGATGTCCCTCCTCCTACACTTCCAAATTATCTATGTGTGATGAATTATCATACATCACTAAGATTTTAAATTATAAGTCCACTACCATGAATTTTCTGATATACAACACTTGTTATACTCTACTGCCTATGTATAGGCACTATTGTCTAAAATATTATTTAATTCCACAAAGAGCATTATAACACTCACTTTTTCAATAATTATATTCTTCTATGGATATAGACCTCATATTACTGGTAGCTTCCAAGGTTAACTAAAACTAGAAAAAAAAATGCTAGCGATTTGGAGAGAGATCCTCGAGGGAGATTTCTTGTTATCTAAAGAAAAACTTTTTTGTATATTTTATTTTTCATACATATTCAAAAAATTTTAAGTATTATTTAATAGTTTACTAAAATAAATATAAATTAAAATTTTATACCCATATTCAAACATCAAATGTTAAATTCATTCAAATTAATTTTCAAAATTAATTATACCACTGATATCAAATCTTAATTATGCATCCAAAAGCGGCTTTCCTTTTTCCAAATATGGGCCAAGAAAATGCCTTTTTGAGGTGTTTGTAATAGTGATATGAAATGACTATCAAATGTAGGCTTGAATAGGCTTTGGGTGAAGCAGACAATGAGAGGGGAGTGCCCTTACAAAAGCAATTAGGGAGGCCTACTAGGGACAATGCATTATTTCATAAGAGAGAAAAAAGAGAGGGAGAGATGAGTGTAGGTTGCCATCAAATTGGACAAAATATATACATGAGCATTTGACTTTATATGCATAATATTCGAAATTGGAGAAACTTACTCTTAGGTTTTTTTTTAAAAAAAATATGCTCAAAATTTATTTCAAAAACTTGAAGAGATTTTGGAGTATGATATAAGTAAATATTTGACTTTACATGCATAATATCCAAAATTGGAGAAACATACTTTTAGTTTTATTTTTTTTGAGAAATATGTTCAAAAATCTATTTCAAAAATTTGAAGAGATGTTGGGTTCTTACATAAGTAAATATTTGATTAAGAAGTTGTTCATTTCTTCATATTCAAACATTATCTAAATTATATTTAAACATCACTCCAAATTAAACTATGTTTGGTTGTTGTGTGACTAAACATTAGTAATGACTAGATGCAACATACTCATCTTATTATTGATGTGCTTTAAATATTAGTTGACTCTCTATCATAGTTATATCCATTTGAAATATATTCTAATATTATTCAAATCATATTCAAACCAAAAAGGGCATTTTTGAACCATGAATGAATATAATTAAAGCTATATTCAAAACCATCTATAAATAAGAACTAGAATATACTTCAAATTATTTTAATCAATGTTTACCATTTTTTACTTAAATAAGCATTCCATGATAAGAAAAACTCTCCCATCTCATTCATGCTTGTTTGATGCTTATTCAACTTGTTTTGAAAATTTATTCATCAGGCCTTCACTTTGTCAATTAAAAATAAGAGAACTTTAGTTCAAAATAATGTTTTTTTAGCATATTTCCCTGATGAATAAACTAACAGAAATATTTCTTAAATTTTAGGCATTAAGGCATATGAAGTCAATTCTCTCTATGTACAAGCTAGCTAAGAAATTTATTTTTGGTTTATATTAATTTGATTTTAAGTTGTCCTGGTAGTATCAACCCAATCTTGAGTTGGTTTGAATTTGAATCGACCGAGCTAACAATAAAAAAGAATTTTTGCATGCACTCACGCGTGCACACACACACACACAAATCATTTTTAGAGCCAATTCAAAATTAGGATTTACATACTTAAACCTAATTTACTCAATATGGATCTGGTAAGTTAGCTTTATGATGGCCAAAAGTGGCCCAAAGTCTTCCTTAATCAAATAGATCTGTTAGGTTGTTTGAGGCTGGTTACACTATATTCGGCTTAATTCAACTTCATGATATAAATGTCGATTTAGTATTAGCTGAGATAAAATACTAAATTTGACTACTGATGCGTGCCAGAAAATTCGCGGAGGTAGAATAACGAATTATCATCTTAGCGTTGTACAAGAATTCAACACACACATACAGATGAAAGAGAAAAATGCAGTAGTGACATCAGAGGTTTTTACGTGAAAAACTCGTAAAAGAAAAACCACGCGGTATGACCCAGTTGCAAAAATCCACTATTGGTTAAAGATTACAGAAATCCCTTGTCTCCACAGACAGGAAATTGTAACTGTATTTTTCAGATTACATCGTCAACTAATGACATCTAGTTGATGGTGATTGATGATGGTTGACGGTGGTTGATGGAGGTCGGCGAGGGTCGACGATGGTTGACAGTAGTCGACAGTCGGTGATGGTCGATGGAGGCTGGTAGTGGTCGATGGCGCTCACCCGTGATCGACGACGGTCGACGGTGATGTTAAGCTGCAGCTTCTCCTCAAGACCTCAAACTCTCTCTAGGCTTAAGCTCCCTCTCAAGTGAGAGGTAGGGGTCTATTTATAGTGTTTTGGGTGTAATTAACGTAGGAATATGAGCTATTTTGATCAGACGGTTTAGAGAGTTTCCCTCGATTATGCAGTTTTTAATGGACATTTGAGCACATTAATGATATCAGAATTGAGTGATCTTAAGCTCGTTGAATTCTTCTTGTCGAGATGCTCGATTCGAGTATAAACTTGTCATATTCGACAACCGTTTGACATTCCAAATATATCTGAAAATCTTCTAATTGTTGTTCAATGACTTGATTTGGGCTTGATTTGACTCGGATTCGACTAGTTTTCATATCATTAGGTCTGTCTCATTGAGCCGATCAGTTTGACTATAAGTTTGTTGACTATAAGTTTGTTGAAATCAGAGCACTAGATGACTTTTTATCAAGATTTGAATGTTTCTTATTTAAAATATTCTCTCGAGATTCATGTCATGTATTGAGAATCGTGTCGGATGATGAAAATTTGTTGATGGCGTATCAGTTGCCCCTATTTTCGGGCGAGTCTAACTTAGTCGTCCAAAAATATTTATATCTAAAGCTTTTTTTTGTCTCCAAACCTGTTAGCGCATAAAAAAAAAAAAATTATGGGAATATGAAAAGACTTTTTCTTTTTCCACATTTTATTTGAAGCAAGAAAAGCCTTTTTTTTTTAGAGAAAGTTTTTTTTTTTTAAAGAGCATTTAATGTTTGCATTTCTTGTTAAATTTATATAATAATGTGTATTTAATGACCAAAGCTCTTTTTTGGGCCTATAAATAGGCCTAAAGGAGAAGGGGGTCGAGTCGCAGCGAGTGTTACGGTGGTGCACCATTGCGGGGCTTCGTGATGGCGTGTCTCAGCGGCGTGGCGCAACAATGCGTTTGTCGGCACTATTTTTGGTGTGGAGTTTGTC